AGCAGCGTTCTCCATAAACTGCAAATTACCCCTAAAAACCACCCCTAACTGAAAACCCTATGGAAGTACAAGGTCGCAAACTTAATATGTTATTAAGCACATGAAAATGAACCGATCCCCCCCAAAAAATGTTAACTTCTAATTATGTTGAGGTAAACTTCCTTCATTGCTTGGACTATTATTGAATATAGCTTACGTAGTGTCAGGTAAATTATATTTCTGATATTATTTTCTATATTCTACTAGAACATTTATTTCAGCTGTATTTATACATAATAAAACCGAAGTCTGTCTTTGAATTCTTTCTGTTCCCAATTCGCCACTGAACCACCACCCCTTAAATTCGAGTTCTGTCTCAGTACATAGAGTACCTACCTATTCTAACACATACTCATACTGTATACATAAATTAAAATCTTTTTGTTTAATTCGAAAGTTATGGCCTATTAATTTTAAGTTAGTGACTTCGACGTAATTTTTTATAGTGCTAAAACAAAAACGTAAAATATTCAGTTTGGGAAGGAAATATTGTACTGCTCTACTTTATAACTGCTTGATTATTTAAAGTATCAAAAAAAATTAAGTACAAACGTTCTACATTGTTGTTATATAACAAAGCGCGTCATACTATTCAATTCACACTGTGCCAAAGGAAGTTTCACTTCATTTTTTCAAGTGAAAATAAATTATTTCAGGCTCTGCGGCAGTCTTACTGTGCCCACAAAGGATACCATCTCATGAAACCCGCCCTTTGGGTAGCGCCCAATGGATATATTCTGGATATTCATGGACCCTATTTTTCCGATGCAAGAAACAACGACGCAGCTATGTTAACAAATGAGTTTTAACGAGATATTCGAGGGATAAGAGAGTGGTTTCAGGAACACGATTTGTTCATTGTTGATAGAGGCTCTCGAGATGCGAGTCCTTTGCTCCAAGAACTGGGTATTGACGATTTTATTCCTAGTAGTGTTAGACCTGAAGAAAGAAAGCTTTCGATTGAAGAAGCTAACCAAAATCGTATAATTACTAAAACTAGGTGGGTTGTGGAGTCTCGAAATGGTCATTTTAAGTCAATTTTTAATTTTTTTGCTAACGTTATATCAATGAACCGTGTACATTTGAAAGACTTTTATCCTATCTGGGGCAATAATAAATAAATATCGGGAACCAATATTAATGTAAGGAGCAAATGTTGAACCAGCAGAAGTATTACTACAAAAATCAAGTGATGAAAATACAAATAAGAATACAAAATGAACACTTACTGCAACGTCATGGCACTTTTGTTAATTTAGAACACCAACACGTGCCCGATTTTCCTCGCCTTAAACCAGCATATTTCAGTGAACTGACGGTAGGCACCTACCAGCTGAAACTTGCACCATCTTATATTCAGGATGCAAGACAACATGAGCAGGGTAACAATTTCCAAATTGATACCACGATTTCAATAGATAATGTAATAAGACTCAGGATATGGTCACGGTTTAGCAATGCTGTTAAGTATCAAATATGGATTCAGTACGATGAGGCTACTATAGCTGGCCATTACTGCACATGCAAACTTGGTGCAAGGACAGTTTGTATGTGTGCACATATAACCAGCGTTATTTGGTTTCTGAGATATTCTAAACATTTGGCGAGCATCAGATTTCCATCCAACTCTTCCTTAGAAAAAGTTCGAGATGTTTCAAATCGAATTCACAATCAAAACAATATTTAGTATGTTCTTGATCGGTTAATTTTAGAGAAAAACCAATCTCACATTCTTGTCTTAGATTTCCATAAACTATCATTTGACACCAACCTTGAATTTAACCGGAGATTAAATTTTTAACCGGAATTTTTGATCATGGATTAAATTCAAAGTTGGTATCAAATGATAGCTTATGAAAATCTAAGTCAAGTATGTAAGATCGGTTTTTCTCTAAAATTAACCGTTTAGGTTTTACAGCCTGTTAAAGTTGCAAAAAAGTCAACTTTCAACTGTCAATATTTCCAAAACAGTTGAACTCAGGTATTGAAATTTGGTACCTGAATGTATGAAATTAAAAACCCTGCAAAATGATGTATCACTTGACCCCTCTTCCCATTTAAGATTTTCTAGGGGGTGGCTCTGGGGGCTGGGGAGTTGAAAGAGGGGAGGTTAATTTTGCATAAAAACTCATTCCCCTTCAAATTATAGTCGACGTTTTTCAGGGATTTTTTCGAAAATTTTTGTACTCCGAGATAATAGGGGTGGGAAGTTTTCAAATTGACACCCTGTACATAAAGGAAACTTCACACACCTCTTCGAATATTAGTTTTTTCGATGTCTGTCAGTTACAATAGTTGGAATACCTCTTATATATTTTATGATTAAATTTTGTTTACCTTCGCTCTTTTCTTTCTCTAATTTTTCTATAACCGGCCTTGAATAGCTTCTCTGCATAAATGTCTGGTCATTTCTCATGTACGTTCCGGTTTGGTTCTCCGTTTTCTGTTTCTCAGCACTTGCAAAGCTTCGTGCTTCGAAGATAAAATTACTTTGATTGGTCGCTTTTTATCTGCTGTATAATTCCGAAGCCTGAATGATTCTTGTTGTATCAGGTAGAATTTGCTTCATTTTGGTGAACAAAGAAATTACTTTTCTATCATCTTCTTTCCTTCCTGCCTCTTCATTCTTTCTGGATTCCTCCACTCCAAACATTTATACATTGGTAGCTTTTTCCTCTCTTTCCTTTAGTTTATTTAGTGTTGGTTCTTAAAGCTGGCCTCTCTTCCATACTTTTAAAGGGGGTGTGACCCAAAAATGAAAGTTTTAGTGCAAAAAAATCTAAGAATAAATATTTAAACCGCATCTTGCTACGATGGTCCGTTTACGGTTCAATGACGACTGAACGAACAGAAGACTGCGATTTCGGCGGTTGTGACGTAACAAGTTCCATGCATGCATAATTTATCGCCACAAGGAATTTTCTCGGAAACTATTTTGAATATGGGACTGCGGTTTTCACGGGGATCTTAGATTTTTTTTCTTGATTTAAGTAGCTTAGTCTTATGTTAGGGTCACACCCCCTTTAATGTAGTCGACTTTTTTTTCCAAACCTTTCAGCGCATCCGCGTAGCTCTGTGTGGGCATTTTTTTAGAAATAACTTCTACTTCCTTCTTCAGCTCAATTATGGTTTGTCTTATTTCTTCGTTATTTGCCTCGGCTTTTGATAACATCCTCAAAGCTTTGTGATGGTGTCCTTTCTGTAAGCGCAATAAGATCTTTTTTCATGTCAACTATGGATTTACGTAGTGTTTCCCTTTCACTTTCTTGATCTTGAAAACGCTTCTGTACTTTCACCTTGAAAGAGTCAAAGTCGTTCTTGAACTTTGCATCATTTTTAACTGTTGACTTCGTTGCATTTAGATCATCTAAGGCTTGATCAAGATTTTCCTTGAACTTAGGAAGCTCAACATAGAGCAGTCGGGACATACAAAGATCATTGTTCTGGATGAACTGGGTACACATCGAATCTCCTGTGCTTGCAGTTTATAGCAACCAGAGCAGATAACTTTTTTGCAGAAATCGCATGGAAAACCAGAGTTTCCCTTTTTCCTCCTTTGCCTGGCAAACCCCATTGCATTGCAGGCGTTGTTTATTTTTGACTTGCGATAAGCAGGCGAAAAAAACGAGCAAAAAAAAAATTTATCCAAACAATATCAGCGAATTTCAACCAAAACTTTGGTGATTTATGGACCGGTTGCAATATTACCTTAAAATCCAAACTTACCTACCTAAGGTACCTACCCTTAACGTTAAGGTGAATTTGAAATCAGTTCATTCAGGTGGCTTAAGATCCACCATGATTTAAAGAGGGTGTGACCCTAAAAAACGACTTAACGACGAAAAAATTCTAAGATCTATCGTGAAACCCCTAGTCCTATATTCGAAATAGTCTCCGAGAAAATTTATTTTGAGGATAAATTATGCAGGAACTTGTGATGTCACAAGCGCCGAAATCGCAGTCTTCTGTTCGTTCAGTCGTCCGGGAACCGTACTTTGAGTTGTTGCAATTCGCTCTAGGAGATAATTGTCTTTTGTTTTGGGAAATTCTTACACGTCTTAATGCAGTGTGACGTCACAAACGCCTAGTTGTAACTTTAAACCGCCCTAACTCGAAAACGGGCCATCGTAGCAAGATGCAGTTTAAATATTTATTCTTAGATTTTTTTGCACTAAAACTTTCATTTTTGGGTCACACTCCCTTTAAGAGAACTTTGATATACGGTGAAAACTGCATTAAGGATGACCTAACGTTATTCTGTACCTTAAGGTGACATTGAAATACGGGCCCTAAGACTGTTTACCGAGCGGAAATTTTGAAAACACGTTCACTCAATGTTTGTAGAACTGTCCTGCAAAAATCAGAGAATTACGACTAACAAAACCGCCGAAAACTATTGTTGTAACAAGGAGCACCTTAACAATGCAACACGATACCTCGATCAGATGCCGGATAAAATTTTGATGTGTTTTTAATCTTTGCGGAAAATGGTCAGGACAGAAAAGACACTTTACGCATGTCTTCAAAAACACCTAAAAATAAAAAATGGCTTTATGAGCCGCACATTTTTTAGAAAATTTGGTCCAAAAAATGTGAAAATGTTGATGATAGGTCTGTTTCTGCAGAAATCACAAACCAGTCAAAGTGAATTTCATTGGTTGAAACTAGTTTTCTGACTGTTTTCAACCAATGAAATTCGCTGTGACTGGTTTGTGATTTTTGCAGAAACAGACCTAATAATAACGAACTAAATCATAATTATTTAAATAATAGAGTGCAGTGAAGTACTTTACTAATTTGTGGTAAAATATCATGGCAAATAATCTCAGCCCTGTCAAGACCTTCTCTCCAGTAAACGAATGAAATGAAATCATCATTAAAGTATTAGTTTCCTATTAGTCCTATTACTCTTTGGATTTTGAATTTTTCCACATAAAAAAATTCTAAATAAAACTCCAACATACAAATTACAATTTTATTTAGGTTACGATAAATAAAAAATTATACAAAAGTGCTAATATACAACCGAAAAATGGTGAAAGGATTATTATAATAACTAAACAATAATTATAAAAATAATAAATTATAAATGTAATTTTATAGTAATAATTCGAGTATTGGCCAATACTGTATGTGCAAAAAATGATAGCAACATTTTGCTGCAAAACTTGCATATTTTCGAAATTTTTATAATTTATTTAATGAAAGTCGAATGAACAAAACCACTCTTTTCAAAAAGCTTAATTACGAAAAGCACGCGACATGATATAATCCAAAAAAAAATCCCTAGTCAAATCCAAATCACTAGATTTCACTTACAATAATTATATGTATATACATACATACATACATAAAAGTTAATATATCACATCGCTACATTTATTTTTAAAAGTGATTACAAAAGTTCTTAGGTAATAATATACATTTTGCATTATATTTAACCAATTTCGACTTCAAAACATTTCTGTAAACGTACACCCTACATAAAACAAAATCGAGTAAACAGTCGAACTAATTTTGGTCCAATTTAAAAAATACATAATAATAGCTGCCAGGTAACTAAAAAATAAATACAAAATCTAACCTATGAAAAATTTATAGAACTAGAAGTTTGTACATTGATTTTTCTAATAATAATTATACAGGGTGTTATAAATTTGAGTGTATGTATATGGGTCTTACGAAACCGTGAGTTCTCTTGCCTCTTTCAAGTTCAGTAAACAAACTGCCATATAACTAAACATTATTGGTAACAAATAATAATCTCTTTAATGTTAACACATTGTTCTCAAAAGTTCTCAAAAATATGAGATGATACCTACTAAAAGGAAATTAGAAGGTGCTGCAACTGACAACTATCAAAGTTAAATATAAATAAGGTACAAAGTTTAAGTGTTGAACGACTAAAATATTGAGCAATTTCCGATGGAGTACTGGCTTGCGCAGTACCTACATGTAAAATGCATACACTTGAATCTGTAACACCTAATATTTCAAAGAATATCAGAAATAAATACGAATCATAGACGCAGAGTCAGTAGGGTTGCCAGGTGTCTGTCCGATCAAAAAATCTTCGTAAACCACAAAATGTCCGGTTTTTTGTTGAATTCATAAAAATTCATGTAATGTTACACACCGCCACCTTCAAAAAGACGCTTTGTAAAATAATAATTACTGAATACAAACTGAGGCTGATGACAATGATTTTTGGGTTCTCTGATATTATGTTAAACAGTGTCCCCCATAATGTTTGCTACACATGGGAATTTTTTTAATTTGTAGGACATAGAATTTTGTCTTATGTGCGATCGATAACTTGAAAGTACATTTTGACATCGTCCACGTAATCACTGTTGTGGCGAAGAATTTCCTATTTTTTGTTGGTTTTGTCCCAAATTTCTTAAATAGCCCTAAGATATGGTTCTAATTACTTTCTTCTTCTTCTTCTTATTTTTAATGGCTTTGCTACAAGGCAATTGCCAGTACAATTTCGTGGTGACCCTGATGTTGTCAGACTCTAGGCCATATGAAGGTCCCCTAGTGGTTTCAATTTTTTTCTTATTTTTGTGAAGGGCACATCCAGGATTTGCCTCGATCAATCTCTGACGCCGGATATAACCGTTTTCTGTCAAAAGAAAACAGCGTTTTCACGAGTCTAACAGACTCTGTCTGCCATTTTGCCAACGTTTCCACACGTGAATTTTCTGTTCCGATATTTTGCCATCTAACCCGACTTTTCGCATGTCCATATCTAATTTTTCCCATATGTAGCGAACATATTATGGAGGACACTGTATATGCAGGTATATGTTTTATAATGATATAAAGCTAAATTATTTTTCAAGTCTTTTTTTTGAATGTTCTTCGATTTTTTTTCGCACATCTGGCAACCCTAAGATTCAGCTCAATGAAAGAGCGAGCCTTCAGTCTGGTTAGTTTTGCGAAAGCCAAAAAATATTAGCTATGTGTAATTATAATAAATTAGATTTTGTCTAATGTTTGAAATGAGTGTAAACATCTCCAGGTCCAAGTACGATTTATAGGCTCAAGTTCAAAAAGTTAACGATCATATTTTATCAGGATCAGTTGACGGTGAAAATTATTACTATCTTTAAAATATCTGGCCAATAGAAATTGATATTCTGATCATGCGAAAGTAGTTGTGCAAAAATGGAAAGACTCCACGTTAAAGGCGACTGGCTAGCAACCTCAAACGTGGTTGAGTCTCGATTTGGAACTCAATGTTGCCATTAACCTGGAGTTTTGTAAATTTAGCTCCAGTCGGACGGAAATGGCCAGTTCTTCGATATTTGTTTATTGTGATAGTTTTTTTCCCTTTGCATTTTGCAAATTAATATCACCAATCATGATACTAATTACCTAATCTACACTACACAATCAATCTGGGCCTGAAGATGCTCTAACAAAACTTTGAAAATAACTTCCATATGACAATTTGTATGTTTTTGAAAAACACATGTCTTTCATAACAAGTAATGTGCTCACAGAAAAATTAATAAAAATCTGAAATTAGATTTTGATTTCAAACCATAGCGTTCGATTATTTTTGTTGTTAAGTCAGTTTTGTGGATTATAGAACATTAGTTACGAATTCAGTGCAAATAAATTCTGCTTGCTCAGGCACCTAAATTCAAGTGCTAAAAGTTGTCAGTCCTAGCACGGAAAGTAGGAACATTATTATACAACATTCTTCGCGAAGGAGCTTTTTTGACAAAAAAAAAAAAAAGAAAATTGAGTTTTCTGGATTCTGATTTCTCTTTCTCAATATCAAAAAAATTAACCCAAAATTACCTTCAAATCAACTGTATATGGCTTAAACATCAAAAACACTTAATGCCATAATGCTAAGTGTGAGCCTGTGTTGTATTGCGTAGCTCACATTTATTCCAAAATAGAATATAAAGAGGATAAACAGTAGTTGTTCAATCCAATTCAGGTAATTTATTGGTTGTAGGTACAGTATCTTCTAGATATATTCATTTGTGTCAATATTTCCGATAACAATATCGATGAAGTCAGGGAGGTAGAAGATATGACGTAACATTGGACCTTTGATGTATACTCTCTACAAAAAACATAATGATAATAAGTTGGTCTTGATGGTCAACCTTCTCTGTTCTACACATTGGGTCCACGTTTTATCTTTTTTGGTCATACACATTAAAGCTATCCAAAACGTCACCCGACTTATCTACTGGACTGCCTGGAGTCACTTAACGATTTTCTTTATAAATATACTCAATGACAGGAGACGCAAATACATACTGACTGCAATTCTATGATCCACAAAACGACTGTTCTTTCAAAAGAAGTAGTGTTTGACAAAATTAACCGAGCCTGAATAAAGATTGGAAGCTTGTAGTAATTAAGTAAATCTAAAAAATAATCCAAATTGCATGGCTACTACGGGTTACAAAAAAAAAGTCAAATAATAAACTTGACTAGAAATTATTGTGAATTAATATTTACATAATATTATATAAAGATATGCTTAGTTTAAGATTGTGTAATTTTAATGAAACTAAAAAAAATATCAATTCAGATTATCACAAAAATTCAGCTCTAAGTCCAGAGCAGAGGAAATCGAAATCATGGGAGCCTCTCATTTCTTACTCAATATTTTTTTGTTGGCCAATTTAGACCAGTTTTATTCAAGAATAAATAATTTGTATATAATTTATATTGACATTTATCCAACCAGTACATGGGCTAAAATAAATACATATTATTACAAATAAATAATAAATGGAGGTGCCAAGAGTAAAGTTTTGATATTTTCCCCAATGATCAAGATAAATATGGACGATATCGCTGCTTGTTGCAATGAAACCTAAAAATAGGTTTTTTTTGAAGGCAGCAAACTCACTGGTTATATCATTATCAGACAAATATTCCTTACACATTAACTAATTTTAATCATCTAAATATATTACTACTCTTAAATTACATAAATAATTATTTGAGAATCATTTCATTTCTCTGGCAATGAAGCTCATAGAAAGCAACAACAGAATGTTTTGTATATGTTGCTTTATGATATTTTTACTTAGCCTAAACGTACAAATTGGGGCTAATTTAAGTAGTCAAACCTTAGAGATTAACTTAGGATCTAGTTATTGGAAATATATTGAATTAGGAACGGTGAGCATATTATAAATCTGATGGTAATAATGATATTTTCTGTTTAAAATATAATCTCACCTTTCATAATCCACGTTTTCCAACCTAAAAACCAAAATATTTAGTCTTTATGTCTTAAATCCATACACCTAGCCTGCCCGGGTTGCCTCTCAGACGCACGACAATCATTCCTTTATAATAAATCAACTTGCAAAATTACCCAACAAGGAGAACCTACATCAATACAATTGGACTGTTAATAATAAATTCGCAACAATGTTGGGTAATTTTCTTGATGATTTGGTGTAAAAAATGGTAGGTAACACTACAAAACGGGTGAACGGCTTCTGTACAGAACAACATAAAATATCGATTATATAGGGAATTGCCACTTATCTCTGTACATTTATTTGATGTATGTAAGTAAATCCCTATTTTTTGTGAATATCACAGTTTTATGGTAGTCAAAATTAACTTTATGTTCCACTGTACCACCCTTGAGCAACTAAAAAATGGTAAACATAAATATTTCTAATCAGTTTGACCACAATTTTCACTAAACTCAATCATGAAACGTAACTAATTTGTCACAAATAGATAAATTATTAGTGGACAAATGAACACTTCATATAGCCAGTAAGTTATTCTTTATCAATTTGGTTCAGTAGTCTTATTATAAAGAGAGATCAGCAGAAGCTTCGTAAAAGTATTCACTAACCCACGAAGATTAGGAACAGATTTGTACGGGCGTATCATGGATTCTTGATTAGAAAAAATATATATACAGCTTGGCGTTTTAAATTTAAATATGTCATGATCATTTTAGAGAGAAATAAAGGGAACCCAAATCAACAAATCTGTCCCCAGTCAAGAATGTACGTTAAAAAAAATAAATAATAATAATAACACGTAATATAATGTGCAACAAAAGAGAAGAAATTAGATTGTCCTACAGAAACTATTTTGTACATTAAATCCAGAAGAAAAATTAATATGGTCTCCACATCAAACTGACCAGGTGAACATTCAATTACAGGCAAGCAACATTCATTCTGATTCCTTTGAACAAGTTGAAATTTATAACATTTGCAAGAGTCGTATTTTATAATTAATGGAAAGACAATTTACAGTATTTTGGATGGCACTTGTCGTATTCTGGAGTAATTATTTAAGCGTTAATTGCAGTTTTCGCAAAAAGGTGCTTATGTAAACATCAACAGCTTGTTTGCCAGTCAAGTTATATGCATACATGCTTAGAATAAATTGCGTTTGATGTTTGAGGTTTTCCAGCTATTGAGTGAGTTAAATTAATTTTAATATGAAGTTTAAAGGAATCTCTCATTCATCTCAACAGTCACACTTATTCCTTGGAGAGAAGCGACACTTCGCGACCCTCTAGGATCAGAGGACAACGTCGGGCAGACTATGTGGCCACTAGGCTCGCGAATCGTTGTCATGTACGATTTTCCGCTCCTTATAATAGATCTCTTCGCTCTCCTTGTCGCACATTAGCAAAACTACGCCGCTGAAGAGGAAGATGGCTACGCCCCAACCAACGCCGTAGGCCCAACCGAACTCCCATATTGTTCGATTACCTAAACAGAAATAAGATATTTAAGAATTTAAGTTGTTAAGACTTGAATTTCAAAGTAAAAACTGTCATCTATTATAGTCCTGGAGCCCGTGTACAAAAGTGCAACGTTAAGCAGACAGGTTCTTTATATTTAGATTCGATTGTACTCACATTGTGCAGATACGTTTGGGTGACACCCCAAACGGCTAGGTAGCGGTGGGGTTATTTGTTAGGGGGTTGCAAACATATCAAAAAAACGTGACGGGAATCAGTCCCGGGCAGCACGAAACTCTTATGAATGGAAAATTATGTTCCATAATGAGCATTGAACATTGTCAGCTAGCCAGGGGGTGCTAGGGTAATTGTCAGCTAGGGGTGCGAATGAATCGCAAAATGCGAATTTTCAAAACGGTGTTGGGTTTGTTGGGTGGATACTAATATTTTATGTATGATTCACGGAAAAAAGTGTCAGCTGCTCGTATGTCGGAAGAAAAGTTGTCAGCTGGAGTCAAAAAAGGTTCCGGGCGTAGACGTGCTGTTAGTTGCTGCACAATTTTCTGATTCCAAAAATATATAGCTTCTCTACATTTGGTTGATTCGTCTCCTGTTAAATTAACCAGTAAAAATAGTTTTGTCAAAAAAATTTGTCAGTCTGTCATCAATAATTTATGGTGTGTAGTAATAAATGAAATACATTTTCAACGAAATCAGTGAAATTTATATTTTCGTTACTTCAAAAAACAGATACATTTAACAGGTTATTGGCCCAGATACCCCAGTGTGTAAAGTTTGAAGGGTAAAGTGAAAAAAAAAAGTAACATTTTCCATTTTCGATATCAGCTGGGCTGTTGTTGTTTTTTGAAGTCGTCAAATATTGGGAAAATGGCTGCATCAGTTTTACAATTTCCTCAGTTGTCCAATACCAATTATTCTAACTGGAAGTTTCGAGTGCAGGTATTGTTGGATAAGGAAAATGTTAAGAGTACAATAGAGGTGACAGATGACCAGTTCCAGACCCTAAACACAGACGAAAAAGCTGCTCATTTGAAGAGGTACAGCAAGGCCAAATGTATTATAGTGCAGTGTGTTTCAGATAAGCATGATGAAGTCCCTAGAGAATGTTTTTGAAAGGAAAAGTCCTCTTCCAAAATTGTTTATAATGAAGAAGTTATTTAGATTGAAGTGTACTTCTGACGACCTTCCAAGATCATTTTATCCAGGTGGAGGTTCTGCTAAGAGAGCTAGAGACAGCAGGTGCTAAACTTGATGAGACAGACAAGGCATGTTATTTCTTGCTGACAATGCCAGAGAAATATGACACAGTGATACCTGCCATTGAATTGAAACTGTCAATACAAGCATTACTTTAGAATTTGTAAAAGCCCGTCTCTTAGATGCCGAGTTGAAATTTAAAGACAGTCAGCCGGTAACCTTTGATAGAAAAAATTGTGCATTTAGTGTTGGAAAAGGTGTACAAGGACGAAAGTGTTTTGAATGTGGTAGAGAGGGACATTTTGTTAGAGATTGTCCAAACAAAAAGCATCAAAATTATGTACAAAGAGGTCAAGCCAGAGGATATAGAAGAGGTAGAGGTTACAGAAGAGGCCCAAATAGGCAAGCATATGTTTCGGAAGCAGCAGAATTAAACGGTGTTTACACTAGATGCAATGCAAATTGCATGCAATCGGCTCCACATGCAATTTTATGCCTTCTACCATTTACATGGGATGCAATTGAATTGCATGCAGTCATTTATATAACGGGCAGTGCCAACATAAAGAAAATGACGTATATTTATTTATTGTGTTTACATTTTGCAAATCATAGAATAAGTTTCAAATTAATTAATATCAAATTCATAAAATGGATCCAGAAACAGCAGAAGATGATTTAACAATTGCGTTGACGATCCTAATGATGGCTAGTGCTGCAGTCATTGTATATCAAACGAATGTTACCAGAAAACCTCGATGGTGGGTAAAACCATGGCTACTAAATAAGGATAGGAATTTGGGAATGCCTGAAGAATTTTTGAAATGTGGAGACGAGAAAAGCTACAAAAATTTCTTGCGAATGGATGAAAGGAATGGATAAGTACATGACCGTACGATCTCATTATTTATTCCACAAGTGTGTGAGGCCATTTACGAAGCACTTAAAGACAAATATTTATGTGTAAGTAGAATGTCAAAAAATATAAACACCACTTTTTGCATAAATTAGTTCTAAATTTTAAATATACCTACATATACAGGGTGCTACAAATTAGGGTGCATGCATGGGGATATCGGAAACCGTAAGAGATACGAGGTTGGTTAAATTATGGCAAAGTTGCGTAATTCGATGCTTAACAAAACGCCGTTTTGTAATTTGAGAAATTCCAAATACTTCCGGAGATATCCGGAAAAAACCGAAATTTGCCAAAATGGTTTTCATTTTTTTGTTAGTTTGTTTGAAGAAATATGTCAAAGTAAACGTCACTTTATTGTAGTCACTTTTTAAAATCCGACGTTTCGTCTTTGGGCCACCATCATCAACTTTATTTTTTAAATACGGAACTCAACTTTTTTTTCTGTTTTTTGTTAGTTTTTGATTTGTTAAATGTAATAGTGTATTGCAACAATTGATAGAAGAAATATTTCTGGGGAATAATTAGGTAGGTACATGGTGTGGAGATGCTCATCCTTGTCTAACGCATTGTTTTTGTCATAAACTCTTCTGCCTGACATATTATTTTATGCAAAGCACTTAATAATTAAATTGTTATTATTTAAAACATAAATTTAATTTCAGGCAGGCAAAAAATGATACCTTATAAAAAAATTCTAATAGATAGGTAAATAATTTATTCAGGTATTAAAAACGACTTAATGATTTAACAATGAATACTTAATGAATAAAATAAATACATTTCAATCTTTATGCTAAATTTAATTGCACCTAGATCACAGACAATCTGTATGTGCAAAAAAAAAAAAATCTTACAGGTTAATTATTCTGGAATTTCATACACTTATACAAAATTTTATTATACCTACAACCTGCAAGTTATAAGAAAAAACTGCAAAAAAAAGAAGAAACTAAGAAAGTGATCTCAGACACACAATGCTGAGAATCACAACAGATCAAGATAAGTCCTATAATTGGTGTATATAATTGGCTGACACTTTTTGGCAAATATATTGTACTTAGGTATATTTTTTCGCTGTGTCTAGCCTTCCGGCACCGGTATTCATACGAATCCCGGTTTGACGTTTTCGATGACTCCATCAACGACCGCCGGGATTTATTGTGGGTGCCGGCTATTGGATTCAAAATTCAAAGTCGTATTTCTCTTGCTGCTTGAAGCTGTGATTAATTCCGGAATGGTAGCTTTTGTATATTTATTATTGTTTCTTGTTGTGATATTGGTATTAGAGTGGTAAGTACTTCGTTAATCCACTTTCCATAGTAGTGGTTTAAAAAGGGAATAGTATGGTTTATTTTCATTCATTATTCAGGACTATAGTTTTTTTAACAGCCTGTATCTCTGAAATAGAGTACTCTTGGTCCCATGTTTATAGGAATTGTTGCTCTTAATTTGAGATGTAGAATCCTCAGTTAAAATATTAACTTCTAATTTTGGGGCATCCTGTGTAATGTTGCTGAACATTAACGGCGTTGCTGTACAAGATCAAATACTGAACAAACTTTCAAAATAACCCTGTACCTACATAATAAAAAGTCATAATTTTATTGTCCATTAATAAAAGCTTATCGCGCCCGACTTTGTTTACGGTTTTTTACTTTTTTTACTCTTCATAATAAATCTCTGCCCCAATACCATTGAACATAATAATTATTAACATCTTGTATAGCAATAGCCGGGATCCACGACAGTTACCGGTTACCGGTGGTTGTTGATGGCGGTAAAACGCGCCATAACCGGGATTCGTATGAATACCGGTGCCGGGAGGCTAGACACAGCGATATTTTTTGTGCTTATTGGTAGGGAGTTGTATAGTCTTGGAGCTAGGCTTGTGGCAAATCTTTGGTTACCGTCTTTTCGGTAGAAAGGAACTACTAAATTCTGGTTTGATATTTGTCTGGTTTGGTATGTGTGCTCAAGTTTTGTTTGTAAATTTTTGTTTTTGTATAAAAAAAGGCAAATGTTATAGAAATACAGCATTCTTATACTTAGTACATTCTCATTATACAGCTGGTCAGTTGGAAAATGTTTTTCTTTTTGAAATATAACCTTCAATATGTAATTTTGTACAACATTAAGAGGTTCAAGTGCACTAACATAGAGACCACCCCATATGACTATGGCGTACGGTAAGATGGATTCAACCACTGCTTTATAGATTGTTACAAGCAGTTTTTTGTTCACAAATTTACGGAGCTCATAAAATTTGTAGATTTATTATGTATTATTATATATATATATAGATTAAACAAATAGCAAACTTAGGACCGGTTTATCAGTGGACAGTTATTGAGTTTAGCTGTTGGTTAACTGATAATTATCAATTGGTTAACCGCCAGCTAAACTAGATAACCTTCTACTGAGAGATGTCCGACATAAACCTCGAGACATACGAGATATTGTAAAAAGGTTCGAAGTGCCGATCCCTGGCGAACACATAACTTTCTGCATCAGTTCATCTTTATTCAACACATATTGCAAAAATTTTATATTATCTATTCGCAATCTGATGTCCAAAGGAAAAGGTGAAATTTTTCACCTTTCAGTGCTATTTGATAGGTAAAGGTGATAAATTTACCTTTACCTTTGGACTACGGATTGTGAATAGGATATAAGTAAGTACAAGTAGGTCATCTAATCTCGAAAGTGAGATATCTAGTCACACGTTTCTCATATCTAAAGTCATATTTAACATTAGAACAACTTAAGGTCATTTATTACGCTCTAGTTCAATCACAGCTAAACTATGGAATAGCTGGTTGGGGAGCTGTAAGACAATGTTACCATAAAAATTTAGATGTGATACCAAAGTGGATACTCAAGACGATACTAAA